CAATCAATATAGCCTGTGTAGAGTTGTAAAACAAATGAAAGTAGAATTAGTCCTGGTGTCTTTAACTCAGTTCTTTGCACCAGTGATTGTGAAATGACTGCCCTTAATTGTTATCCATTTTCTGGGTGTGGGGTGTGTCTTATGTAATACTGATTTGGATACTACCAATGTGCTTCCCCACTGACTGCTTCCACAACAAATAACCAAAAATGTTTTCAGTGGGCTTGTGGCAGTGTCCTCAGGTGAGCACGTATTTGCAGACCTACTGACATTTACAGGCCCTGTATAGTCTCTCCATGTCATAATTTGGAACATGCCTCACATTTTTGGTTATCATGCAGAATATCAGAATATTTCATGGGAATGTTGGTAGCTTCAGCTACTTTCCAGCCTGTGACCAGACTTTAGACAAGCGCTGTAAAGCGCCTCCAGTGGTCTGTGGGGGAAGATGGCGTATAGTTTGGTAAGTGCGTCTGCGTCCTGATTTCCAAAACTCAATGAGCTACCGGCTGCCACATGGAAAACTACTGACTCTGGCCAAACTCCATTATAAACTTCAGCATCTGCTGTCCCCATGGTGGTAGAACCAGAACTTGCCAGTTCTTTTCCCACTGGGATATCCATAAAGTCAGACCTTCCTGAATAGAGCCCAACAACTGTCAATACAGATTGTCACAGGGTAAAGCTCATGAACTGGTATTACCCACTCTGCTCTTACCTTAGCCCACTGACTAAGCTTTCTTTCTCTCTCCAGCCACACGGTGTCAGTGTTCATTTGCATTTCATCAGCTGCCCAGTCCTGTTTAGTGCCCTTACCTATGCCATCCATGTAGCAGGCATGTACAAACAGATGGTGTTTCTCTTAGCACTTTATCTGTTTTAGCTCTTGGGACAATCACTGGGGGAGGTACAGAAGCTCGAAAGAACACTGGTCCTAGCACAGCCTGCATGGTATTAGAGACAGGACACCACACTCACAGTGCTGTAACTAGGCATGCCATCTTTGGCAAGTTTGATTCTGTGCCACTGGAGTAAGAGTTGTGGCCTTCAGGCAGATAAGCAGCCTTCACTGTTATTGCGGTGGCGGGTCCCACCTTTTGAAGTGTTTCACATTCGTCAGCAATTGCTGTTCTAGCATGGTGTACTGCTTCCTTCCCTTTCCATGTCTGGGACCCAAACCCTGTTAAGACTGTTTGCTCAGGTCATTTTTTCCCATAGTCTCCTGAACTTCTGGTGATTTCTAACACAAATGATCTTTCGAGGCTCTTAGCTTACTCAGTAGCCTCTTGAGCAATTTATGTATTTATTTTGGCACCAACCACACACACAGTACCTTTTAGCTAAGTTGTTGGGTGTGATATGCATTTTACTGGGAAAAAAAAATACTCCTAGGAATTTCACAGCTGAGCTCTGCCCTTGTGCATTTTGTGGGCTGACTGCTCATCCTGCCTCCTTGAGGTGCACACCATAAATCCTTCAGAGACTATACTGTATGTAGTGAAACTTTTTCAAAAAGGAGAGGAAGCAGAAGAAAACGAGGTCCTGGGCCTTCTTCCCTTGCCAAATAGATAGTGTATGAAGGTAATCTTGCATGAGTGCCCCAATGCTCCTCTAAATGCAAATTAGCCTTGGGAATTGAGCAACCAAGAAAATACAAAAAAGAAAAAAGAAAGAAAGAAAAGGTCCAACACAACATGAAAAGATATCATGACTTTTTCAGTTGTCCTGTCAAAAGAACAATGGTGGGCACAGTGGTATAAATGGGGGTGCTTACCTTATTTAACTCTCTATATCCAGAGTCTTCTCTGGGATCTGTCTGCCATCTCCACAGGTCACATACCAGCTGTAGAAAGGCCCTTGGGTTGGGCAAGTAACCTCTAATGTTTCCAGCTCTTTGAAAGTTTCTGTGATTTCAGCCTAGACTTCCAGGCAGGCAGTCAGTACTACTTGATGTTTATAGGTCTATCGGGGCAGGAACCTTACACGTTCCCATCTTTACCATGGCTTCACAAATGGCTGCCTTTACATTTTGCACTCTCAGGTGAAACTCTAAATGGTGGCATGCAGGGTGTGCCCTAGCAGTGCATATTCTCTTGCAGAGAGGTATACCCTTGAATGCTCTTTGAGGAGATAATTGCCATCACTGGCACCTGCTGTGCTGTGCTGGCTAGTCTCTTTCTTTCTTTCTTTCTTTCTTTCTTTCTTTCTTCCTTCCTTCCTTCCTTCCTTCCTTCCTTTCTTTCTTTCTTTCTTTTTCTTTTTTTCCGAGACAGGGTTTCTCTGTAGCTTTGGAACCTGTCCTGGAACTCACTCGGTAAGCCAGGCTGGCCTCGAAATCACAGAGATCTGAGAGCCTCTGCCTCCTGAGTGCTAGGATGAAAGGTGTGTGTCACTACTGCCTTGCAACTGGCGCATTTTATGTCAACTTGACACATGAACTAGAGTTATCTGGAAGGAGGGAACTTTAATTGAGAAAATGCTGCCATAAAATCTGGTTGCAAGGTATTTCCTTTCTTTCCTTTCTTTCTTTCTTTCTTTCTTTCTTTCTTTCTTTCTTTCTTTCTTTCTTGTGTGTGTGTTTTTGAGACAGGGTTTCTCTGTGTAGCTCTGGCTGTTCTGGAACTCACTCTGAGGACCAGGCTGGCCTCAAACTCACAGAGATCCTGTCTCTGCCTCCCGAGTGCTGAGGAAAAAAAGGCATGTACCCCCACCCCCATATCCTCCTTTCCCCACCCTCCACCTCCCACCCCCCTCTGACAATCTCTAAATTGTTATATGAAAGGCCCTGCATTTTCATTTTACACTAAGCCTTACAAATGACATAGCTAGAGTATGGGGCGAAAGCTTTGCCCTTCAAAGAACCTTTTTTCCCTCAAGAAAATATAAATTAATAACTTATTAGTTAATCACTTTTCTGACTCCCAAATGTACCAGGTAATATTTCAATGTACTACTTAAAAAATAGGACCTGAGTGTAGTGACACACCTTTAATCCTAGCACTCAGGAGGTGGAGGCAGGTAGATCTCTGAGTTCCAGGCCAGTCTGGCCTACAAATCGTGTTCCAGGACAGTCAGAGCTACACAGAGAAATGCTGCCTCAAAATATATAAATAAATAAATAGATAAATAAACAAATAAATAAAACAAAACAGGGACTTTGAGATGGCTCTGTGGTTAGAGGCGTTTGCTGCCAAGCATGAATGAGTTCAGTCCCCAGACTGCACATGGTGAACTGGAGGACAGAGCCAGTTCCTCAAAGTTGCCCACTGACTTTCACATGCGTAAACATACACGAACACACACACATGCATGCACATACACACATACATGTACACATGCACACGCTGGCACGAGATAGATAAATGTAATAGAAAGAAAGGAAGAAAGAAAGAAAGAAAAAGAAGGAAGGAAAGATGGAAGGAAGGAAGGAAGGAAGGAAGGAAGGAAGGAAGGAAGAAGAGAAAACTGCTGGAAGAAGTAGTGCTTGACTTGAGCTCCTAGATTCAAAGTCTGGTAACAACAAAACTAACAACCAGTAGGCTTTCCCTAGCCCAACTTTCCCCTATGATTAAACCTAAATAAACCCTCTTGTGGAACTAGGGCTCTCTCATTCTAACATGCCACTCTTTCTATCCAAGCTCCAGCTCCCCTCATCAGCTCTGGTTCCCTGGGAGGACCACCTGAGTTCCGTCCCCAGGGACGCACATGGTGGTAAGGGAAAACCCACTTCCATGATGTGTTCTTTGGTCTACCCCCCACCCCCAATAAATAATAAAACAAAACATATTTTTTTTAAATGTTAAACCCTCAGTGGTGGTGCACATCTTTAATTCTAGCACTTTGGAGGCAGAGGCAGGCGGATCGTGGTTTGAGGACAGCCTGGTCTACAGTTTAGTTCCATTATAGCCGGTATTAGAGCCGGGACTCTTATATCTAGACCCCATGTGTTGAAAAACAAACAAACAAACAAACAAAAACAAAACAAAAGTTACAACTTTGTCCTCCTGAGCCACGTGCTGCTGGTTTTGTTTTTGTTTACTTTCATTTCTTGTCCTGGAACTCTTGTAGATCAGCCTGGCCTCAAACCTCAAAGAGATTCACCACTTCTACTTTACGTGTGGGGATTAAAGAAGTGAGCAACCATCACCTGGCAAGACTTAGCTGTTTTCTATGAAGTACCACTGGGCCGCAGAGTTTTAGGTCTTTAAAAGGTTAGTATAGTAGGTTCGCAGCCTGGTACAATTTACATAAGTATGGGCTCGTCCGGGATTTGAACCCGGGACCTCTCGCACCCTAAGCGAGAATCATACCCCTAGACCAACGAGCCACACAAACCTACCCTCCTGGTCCATTTTATGACCATTCAGACGTCTAGGGGCGGGACCTGAAGGACAGAGCTGGAAGGAGAGTCAGATTTCAGACACGCCCTGAAAGTTTGAATTCAGATTGTAGTTAAGAGGGACTCTATCGCTCTGGTCCCTCTCCATCACGCACAAATTGAGAAACCCTTAGTTCGCGGGTGAGGCTTTCCCTTGATCTGGGCCCGCGGATGCTACTTGGTGCTTGGCTGGCGATTCTCGCTGCCACGTGGAAGCCCGCGCTCTAGAGGTCACAGTCACTGCTCAAGACAGACGGTCCTTCCAAGATCCCGGCCACGGAGTCGGCGGCGAGGCATCCTGTGGTATAGCGAAGCTGCTGTAGCATTTCCCGCTTGTGAGTCCCTCCTCGCCCACCAGAAAGGCCAAAACCTGGATAAGAGGCAGCTGCTGAGAGCCGCCAGCCTACTGACTGGACTAGCCGCTCGTCGCACGCGTGACCTCAGGCCCGACGAAAGGGTGCACACGGGTGGTGCAGATGGACCACCCAGCAGGTCGTACTCCCTGGTCCCGGCCTGCGATTCTCCTCCCTCCCCCAGGACAGTCACTGTGTCCTAGCCGCTCTGCGGCACCGGGTACTCAGTTCAGAGTTGGAAATTCCTCTCCGCTGCAGGTGTGGTTGACCTCGGAATATCCAGTAGATCTGGGTCGACCAGTCTCTGGATCTGTAGTTCAAAGGCACCAATTATAGAAGTTCCTAGGGTACTTCTAACCAATCAACTTTCACGGAAAGGCTATCCTCTCTTCTCTTGTCTTGCTGTTTTCTGGGGTCTTAACAGGAGGAACTTCACAGCTTTTTCCAAAAGATGGAGAGTAAAAAAACTGGGCTCGTCCGGGATTTGAACCCGGGACCTCTCGCACCCAAAGCGAGAATCATACCCCTAGACCAACGAGCCACGAGACTGAAATCTCTCCTCACCCCACCCCACCCGCCAGCAATGAGATAAAAAGCATCTGGTTAGTTCAGTAATTACTACAGATTCCACAATTCACATCGGATTTCTAGGGTTTGTTAATTTGGCTGCATAAACGAATGAGCTGCTGAGCCCACGATTTTTCCAGTCTCATATGACCTACCTAGTGTACAGTACAGATGGTCGGACATGTCAGAAAAGTGGCTGACTTTCCAGGCATGGTTATGTTAGAGAGCACAAAGGGAAGTGCAGAATTTACACGGTTTCCTTTTTCTCTTCCTTCCTTCCTTCCTTCCTTCCTTCCTTCCTTCCTTCCTTCCTTCCTTTCTTCCTTGAGGCTGGCCTCAAACTCAGAGATCCACCTTCCTTTGCCTCACAAATGCTGGGATTAAAGACATGCGCCACCACTGCCCAGCTCATTTTTTCAAAATGATGAACAGGTATCCAAACAAAGTACAGCAAGGACCTATATCTACCTTAGTCTCTCTCCTTCTCCTGCTCAAGCTTTTAAAATAATATATATATGTGCTTTGTGATGGGCATGGTGGCACTTGGGAAGTAGAGCAAGGAGGACCTAAGAGGACATCAAGGTCATCCTCTATTTCATAGCTAACTTGGAACACAGTAGCATATATGGTAGTGTGGGGTGTCTGGAAGCTGGCATGATGGACAAGAGGCAGCCATGCCCATCAGGGAAACCAGGAAAGCAAGGGCAACCCACTACTCACCTGTACCCCTGCCTCCCATTCACAGGAAGGAAGTCAAGAGCAGGATACAGTTCACTGTGCTTGCCTGACTATGGACTGCATTCCTCAGGCTTCCCTGAACTAACAATAGTGTCTCCCAAAACTTGAGGTGAGATGGCTCCGTGAAGGAAAAGCACTTGGCACCAAGCCTGAATTAGACTCTTAGGACTCCCATTGAGAAAGGAGAGATAAAAGATGCCAGCAATTACATAACAAAACAGGTGATATGCTCTAATTAGAAAGCAAGCAAACTTGGTTGGTTTCTTTGTTTGTTCTGTTTTTTTGACCTTTAAAAAGGGTGTTGAGGGCTAGGGAGATGGCTCCATGGGTAAAGTACTGGCTGCACAAACATAAACATAAGGATCTTCCGTCAGCCCCTAGCATCTTCATAAGAGCCAGGCACAGCAGAACATACCTGCAATCCTACTGCTGGAGGTGGGGGGTGGAGACAGCAGATAATCCTCCGGGTTCCATGGCCAGCCAGCCTAGCCAAATCAGCAAGTTTCAGGGTCAGGGACAGACCATGGCTCCGAAAATAAGCTATAGAAACCTTATTGTGAAAGACACTGGAAGCCAGCCTCTGGCCACCATGAGCCCTGCATGGAGAGGGCACCTGTGCATACCTCTTTCTGTCTCTCTGTGTGTCTCTGTCTGACTCACACACATACCACACAATGACATTCCCTAAATCAGGAATATTGGGAACTTGAAAGCTATTATGGTAATCCTAACATTCAGGAGGCTAGACAGGAGGAGTGCTGTGAGTGAAAGCCAGCAGGCCTATGTAGTACTTCTTATTTAGTTGTTCACAAGTAAATGAGAGAGGTCTCATTACTATCTTCTCCTCCTGCAGATGAGAACACTGAGACACTGACAGGACAAGTAATACCAGCTCATATCTACTGAGTGTCAACACAGGCACCGAGTGTATAATATATGTATATATTAACTCCTGTAACTTTCATTCAAAATATAAAGGGTCTGGCAACGCATGGTGTAGGCCTATGAATCTCAGCATTCAGGAGGCTTACTGAAAATCTGAGGTCAGCTTGAGTGAGCTACAGGCTGAGTTCCAGGCTACAGCCAGGACTACAGAACAAAAGGACCTCACTACCAACAGAAGAGAGCCACAGAGACTTAGAGGGTAAGTACTATGCTTTTATGGATTAACTGACTTTATCCTTCAAACAAGCTTATTAACTTGGCCTTATTACTATTCCATTTTGTAGACATAAGTGGAGGTGTAAGAAAACAGGCGATTAAGTACCTCAGCAAGGCTATATACATCTTAGTAAGTGCTGGTGCTAGGAATCGAACAACTTAGTTTATTGTCAGAGTCTGTGTCTTAGTCACTCCTAAATCTACTTTAGGTACTGTAAAATCCCATTGTAAATGCTTTTAGAGTACATGGGTTCAATTGCATTCTCTAAGAGAAGGAGAGAAGAATTTAAATGGATCAGCAATCTTATCACATGTCTGGGGTTAAGGTGTGTTGGGCCCTGTGACTCTGCCTTGAAGATTTTGCAGTTAGTATACTAGGGCCCTCTGTGCAGTCAGATCTTAAATCTTTAATTAATATATATAATTTATGTGTATGAGTGTTTTGTCTGTGCACCATGTATGTACCTGATGCCTAAAGAGATCAGAGAGTATGTTAAATCCTCTCGAACTAGAGTTACAGGCATGTGGGAGCCACCACGTGGGTGCTGGGAACCAGCACAGATCCGAGGCAAGAACAGTGGAGATTTTAAAGGCTAAATGGACTCTCCAGGCCCTGGAGTCAGACCCTTTCATGTAGGCTGTGGCAGTGCTGTCTTCAATCCCACAGGAGAGTGCAGGCCAGTAAGTTGTTCCTTAAATTAGTACCTTCTTAAGAAATTTCCAGTAATCACTTTGAACATATCCCATCCACCCTTGCCCTTGCTTGCTGCCTTTAGAGACTGAGATTTAAGGCTACTGATTACAACAATTATAAACTAAGGTAAAATACAGTGCTGGTGGGTAAGCAAAAACCAGAAGCTGTGGTGAGTCCAAGGGAAGTTGAGGGATGTGTTTAGAAACCAGAAAGGCTTTCTGGGTGTGATATTTGAGATAGTTGACTCTAAAAGACAAGTACCTCTGACAGACAGGGCAAGGGAGGGAATTTTGCCTAGGAACACCTTCTGAAAGGGCACCCAGATGGGAAGGTCCAAGGTGTGACCAATGAGGCGCCTAGACTCCCTTGAGAAAACTCTTGAGGGATGGAGAGGTGGCTCCGCTGGCTTCAATTCCCAGCACCCAGTTCCAGGGGCTCTGATACCTTCTCCTGGTGTTCTTGGGCACCAGTCTCACTAGTGGTGCATACCTGCAGATGAAAAGTCAATACATATAATTAATAATGATAATAATAAAAGAGTTACTCAATAAACTATTAAAGAAAGAAAAGATAAGAAAAGAAAGGACATAGTCGGGCGTTGGTGGCTCACTCCTTTAATCCCAGCACTCGGGAGGCAGGCAAGTGGATCTCTGGGAGTTCGAGGCCAGCCTGGTCTCCAGAGCGAGTGCCAGGATAGGCTCCTAAGCTACACAGAGAAATTCT